GAAATGCTACTAGCAACCAAAAGTACACGTTTAGTGCATCAGTGATGACAAGTCTACTACTACAGTGGCCAGGATTTTATAAATGAACTTGAAAAACTGTGCCCAACTTCTATTTTGTATGGTTCTTAGCATAAAACACTTCAACTTCAGCAGACCTAATGGGTGACACTGCAGAAAATACACCATGTCTCCATATTGGAAAACTTTTAGAAGCAGAGGTTAGGCTATAACATAAGGCATTCAAGTAGGAATAAAAAGATGAAGGACACACTAATTACCATAAACTGCTAGTTCTTGATATGAATTTCTTTGAAAAACAATGAAACATTTTGAAAACAGTACTCCAACCAAAAATAACAAGATAAAAATGAATAGCTTGGTAAATGGTAAAATTTTAAAACAAACCTTTACTGCATATTCACCTTCAATTATTATTATACAGTATTTATATAGCGCCAAAGGGTATGCTCAGCGCTGTACAGTAGCAGGGGGACATAACATGAGACAAGACAGTAACAATACACTACACGAGGGGTTCGAGGGCCTTGCTCTTTCAAGCTTACAATCTAGGAGGGAGGGGAAGGTGGCACAGGAGGAGATGGCTGTGGAGGATGGAGTGGTGGGTGGAGGAGGTTAATTGTTAGGTGAGGTCGGGTGTTAGGTGAGGTTGGGGTAGGCTTCCCTGAAGAGGAGGGTTTTCAGGGTGCGCCTGAAGGTGAGGAGGGTAGGTGACAGTCTGATGGATTGGGGTAGGGAGTTCCAGAGGATGGGGGAAGTCGTAGAGAAGTCCTGCAATCGGGCGTGGGAGGAGGAGACCAGGGAGCTAGAGAGCAGGAGGTCCTGTGAGGAGCAGAGGGCACGGGTACGGTAGTATCTGGGTATCAGGTCAGTTATGTAGTTTTGGGGCGGCATTGTGAGTGGCCTTGTAGGTCAGGGTTAGCAGCTTGAACTTGATGCGTTGGGCAATCGGGAGCCAATGAAGGGATTGGCAGAGGGGGGAGGCAGATGTGGAGCGCTTGGTGAGGTGGATGAGTCTGGCCGCAGAGTTTAGGATTGACTGGAGTGGGGATAGCGTTTGTTTGGGTAGGCCAGTGAGAAGGGAGTTGCAATAGTCCAGGCATGAGATAATGAGGGAGTGTACGAGTTGTTTGGTAATGTCTGGGGTGAGGAATGTGCGTATCTTGGAGATGTTGCGGAGGTGGAGCCTGCAAGATCTAGATCAGGCATCACCCCTACAGGAGACGTGTTATTACACGAAGCGCGTCTAGGAGGAGCCTCTACACGCCTTGACGTTACGCCACCGGATCAGGAGGTCCGGTGGCCATCATTTTTATTCACTGGTCAGTGCAATTAAAGAGCTCATTCACACTATACTTGTATAGGTACTCTAACCCTGTACGTTTACTGTTTTTTCTTAATGATATATACTTAATAAAATACTTTTCATAATACTACACCATGAGCGTTTTCATCTCTATTACCTGGCACTGAGCCTCCACATCTCAGCCCAGCATTCTAGGAGTCCACCCAGGCAGGACATTTTGGGATATAGGTTCAGATCAACATCTCTGGCAGCCGTCACCCCATTTACCACCAGAGGGCACCTTTATCATCAGGCTATACCTTCATGGGACCTCCGGCTTCATGGAATTTCTATGTGCACATTAAATTGCACTTCCGGTGAGTGGGCAATTTTTCTACACCTTCATGTTAGGATGCTGGAATATACCCATTTGGATTGAAGTCATTTATACTCCATCACTGGAATATACCTTTTTGGACTGATATCATATTACCTTGGACTGTTTAACATTCAGTTTATAGGACTCTTTCTATTTCTGTCATATTTTGTCATACTTGTGACAGTGTGTTTTATTTATATAGCGCTGCACACCCTATTTTCATGTCAAGATCTAGATAGCAGTTGGATGTGGGGTAGGAAGGAGAGGTGGGAGTCCAGGGTGACACCCAGGACTTTGGCGTGTGGGGGTGGGAGAGAGATGGTGGCATTGTTAGTAGTGATGGAGAGGATGGGGGGGGCATGGGGAGGGGGGAAGACCAGGAGCTCGGTTTTGGATAGGTTAAGTTTGAGGAAATGGAGCGACATCCAGTCTGATATGAGGTGGGTGATGCGGGCAGAGAGTGAGGGGGTGAGGTGGGGGGTGGAGAGGTAAATTTTGGGTGTCGTCGGCATAGAGATGGTAGTTAAAGCCGTGGGAGTGAATAAGTTAGCCAAGGGAGGAGGTATAGATAGAGAAGAGGAGGGGCCCGAGGACGGAGCCTTGTGGGACTCCGACAGAGAGGGGGAGGGAGGGGGAGGTGGCAGTGTTGTAGGTGACGCTGAAGGAGCGTTGGGAAAGGTAGGAGGCGAACCAGGAGAGATCAGCGTCCTTGATGCCAAGGGAGTTCAGTTTGGCAAGGAGGAGAGGGTGGTCAACAGTGTCGAAGGCCGCGGAGAGGTCAAGGAGCAGGAGGATAGAATAGTGGCCATTGGCTTTGGCAGTTAGCAGGTCATTGGTGATTTTAAGTAGGGCGGTTTCAGTGGAGTGCAGGGGGCGGAAGCCAGACTATAGGGGGTCAAGGAGGTTGTTATCAGTGAGGTGGGTGCTTAGGCGATTGTAGAGTAGGCGCTCAAGGAGCTTGGAAGTGAAGGGCAACAAGGAGATGGGTCTAAGATTGTTAAAGTTAGTGGGGGTCAAGGGAGGGCTTTTTGAGTATGGGGGTGATGTGTGCGTGCTTTAGAGGGGAGGGAAAGGTGCCTGTGGAGAGGGAGAGATTGAAGATGTGGGTGAAGGAGCGGATGATGGAGGGGGGGTGACTGGAGGAGCTGTGAGGGGATAGGGTCCAGGGGGCAGGTGGTGAGGTGGGCTTCAGTGAAGACCTTAGAGACCTCCTCAGAGGTAGTTGGGCTGAAGGAGCGGAGTGTTGGGGAGGTGATGGTGTGCGGGGCAATGGGTATAGTGGGGGGTAGTGTGGCTATGAGGTCAGGGGAGGGGGGAGGGTAGGTGGGTTGCAGGAGGGCGGGAGGATGTGTGGAGAGGTGGATTGTGAGTTAACAATGTCCTTACGGATTGCGTCAATCTTGTTCTGGAAGTGAGTGGCAATCTCGTGGGCGGTGAGTGAGGTGCTGGGTGGGGGTGAGGGTGGGGGGGGGATTTGAAGGCCGACGAGGACAGGTGGAGAGGGTGCAGATAAGGGTTATGAAATAGGCTTGCTTGGCGGCGTGGAGGGAGGTGGTGTAGGCGAGGTAGGTGGCTTTATAGAGGGAGAACGCTGGAGGGGGATCTAGTTTTGCGCCATAAGCACTCCAGCGCGTGTGACTGCGTCGTTTGAGGCATTTTGTATGGTCGGTTTGCCAGGGTTGAAGCGGTCGGGGTCTAATGCTGCGAGTGGTTAAGGGTGCCAGGGAGTCAAGGGCAGCTAGCAGTGAGTCGTTTGTATGCAGTAGTGGCCAGGTCAGGGCATGACAGAGGTAGGATGCTGTCATACAGACGGTCAGCTGCTGGGTGGAGATGGGTCGGGTTCAGATTGTGGAGGTTGCGGGTGGACGGTTAGATGCTTCGGGGGGGGGGGAGTTGGGGGAGGGGGAGATGGAGAATGTGCAGAGGTGGGGGAGAAAACGAGGTCCAGGGTGTTTCCATTGGAGTGGGTGGAGGACTGGGTGTGCTGAGTGAGCGCGAAGGAGGAGGTTAGAAGGAGGAGTTGGGAAGTAGCCGGGCTGTTGGCGTTCAATCCAGCTGTTTCCCCCACAGTACATTTTTTTCTGCCACTGGATGTCCTCAGTATAATATCCTTTATCATTTATCCCACTTCCTCTGAGTCCGAGATGTCCTGGACCTACCTCTGTCTGTGACTGGACAGTGAAAGCAGAAGCAGCACAGTGATAATTGTATCTCTCTGCTCCCATGCTCTTTCCTTCTGTCAACATATTTGTTGTCAGGATAAGAACTGATCGGCTCCTTTGCTGTTACTGTACTATCTCTCACACTTCAGCTGTGCTGTACGGGAACTGCAGGAGGCTGATACCAAGTTAATATTAGAGACTTACACTGCTTGCATTTAAACAGCACATTTAAGTATATACAGTATAATAATGATTAAAGTACTGGAGTTAAGTTTCACTGTAATTTCATGATGTAATTTCAATTGTTTATATCATGATTATACATTAAAGTGGAACTTTACCCATAACAACTTGATAAAAATAATATTCTTTAGCAAGCAACATACATTTCTACATTAATAATTACAATACCAAAATGAGTGTGTGTGCTATAAATTGCCTCGAGCATTGTTTCTATTTCTTCTTGCTGGAGGCTGCCATTTTGCTGAAGCCCAGAGTCCTGAGCAGCATTAACCTCCCTGGAGGTATTCCCGAGTGTAGCTCGGGGTAAAGTTTCAGCACCACAATCGATAACCCCGAGCTACACTCGGGATTACCCTGCAGCGTTGCTCCAGGATCCCTCCTGCACCTACCTTGTCCTGCGCTCCCATGATGCCCCCCCTGCAGCGTCCCCAGCAATGTCCTCCGGCTGATGCCGGCATCTGTCTTCTGGATTCCGTTCCCTTCGACGTCAGGATGTACGGGGGACGGAACTGGTGGGAAATGTAAAAAATTGTCAAAAAGTGACATTCACTAAATACACAAAAATTTCATAGTAAAACATTACTGTATCAAACCATTTTACATACATTTTGTCCCTAGTTCTTTGTCTTGTGCCCTGCCTGCATTTTTACTGTTTTTCTGCCTGGAAACTGAGAAATGTCCATGGCATCCAAAAAGCGTCCCTTTAGGTCAAAATCGGTTTTAGACCAGCTAGAGAACAGCGATACTAAATTAGAACCACTTGCAGAATTGAGTGATAATTAGAGATGAGCGAATTATTCAAAAATTTGATTCGGCTGATTCGGCGAATTAGCCGAATAAATTTGATTCGAGTCGAATATATTCGCTGCGAATTTAACTTATAAAAAGGGTGTTTCTAGGCTTCAGAGAGCCTTTATATTAGTGCAGAACACTGTACCTTTAATTTAAATGCCCTTGGAGTCTGCTGGGGAAGAGAAATAATACTGTCAGTCAGTATGACATGACATGCAGATGAGTGCCGTCGATCTTAGAATCACCGCACACTTCACTCATTTGGGCAGTCACGGGGCCAAAACCAGAGTGTGGAGCCACAGTGTGGCGGTGGAGGCAGCAGCAATGGGAGGCCATACAGCACCCTATGAAAAAATGGAACCACCAGCAGTGTGAGGAGACCTGAAAGTGGCACATGGCAGAGTGTGGCGATGGAGACAGCAGCAATGGGAGGCCGTACAGGGACCCATGACACACTCTGGACCTGGCAGCAGCATGAGGAGGCGGTACAGGGGCCCATGACAGATTACGGGCCTGGCAGCAGCATGAGGAGTCGGTACGGGGGCCCATGGCAGATTACGGGCCTGGCAGCAGCAATGGGAGGCCCGTAATCTGCCAGCACCCTATGACAAAATGGAACCCACCAGCAGTGTGAGGAGACCTGAAAGTGGCACATGGCAGAGTGTGGCGATGGAGACAGCAGCAATGGGAGGCCGTACAGGGACCCATGACACACTCTGGACCTGGCAGCAGCATGAGGAGGCGGTACAGGGGCCCATGACAGATTACGGGCCTGGCAGCAGCATGAGGAGTCGGTACGGGGGCCCATGGCAGATTACGGGAACCAGCAGCAATGGGAGGCCGTACAGGGACCCATGAGGACTCTGGACCTGGCAGCAGCATGAGGAGGCGGGTACAGGGGCCCATGACAGATTACGGGCCTGGCAGCAGCATGAGGAGTCGGTACGGGGGCCCATGGCAGATTACGGGCCTGGCAGCAGCAATGGGAGAGGCCCGTAATCTGCCAGCACCCTATGACAAAATGGAACCCCACCAGCAGTGTGAGGAGACCTGAAAGTGGCACATGGCAGAGTGTGGCGATGGAGACAGCAGCAATGGGAGGCCGTACAGGGACCCATGACACATTTCTGGACCTGGCAGCAGCATGAGGAGGCGGTACAGGGGCCCATGGCAGATTACGGGCCTGGCAGCAGCAATGGGAGGCCCGTAATCTGCCAGCACCCTATGACAAAATGGAACCCACCAGCAGTGTGAGGAGACCCTGAAAGTGGCACATGGCAGAGTGTGGCGATGGAGACAGCAGCAATGGGAGGGCCGTACAGGGACCCATGACACACTCTGGGACCTGGCAGCAGCATGAGGAGGCGGTACAGGGGCCCATGACAGATTACGGGCCTGGCAGCAGCATGAGGAGTCGGTACGGGGGCCCATGGCAGATTACGGGCCTGGCAGCAGCAATGGGAGGCCCGTAATCTGCCAGCACCCTATGACAAAATGGAACCCACCAGCAGTGTGAGGAGACCTGAAAGTGGCACATGGCAGAGTGTGGCGATGGAGACAGCAGCAATGGAGGCCCGTACAGGGACCCATGACACACTCTGGACCTGGCAGCAGCATGAGGAGGCGGTACGTACAGGGGCCCATGACAGATTACGGGCCTGGCAGCAGCATGGGAGTCGGTAGCAGGGGGGGGCCATGGCAGATTACGGGCCTGGCAGCAGCACATGGGAGGCCCGTACAGGGACCCATGAGAGACCCTGGACCTGGCAGCAATGAGGAGGCCGGTACAGGGGCCCATGACAGATTACGGGCAGCAGCAATGGCAGCAGCAGCATGAGGAGTCGGTACGGGGGCCCATGGCAGATTACGGGCCTGGCAGCAGCAATGGGGCCCGTAATCTGCCAGCACCCTATGACAAAATGGGAAACCCACCAGCAGTGTGAGGAGGACCTGAAAGTGGCACATGGCAGAGTGTGGCGATGGAGACAGCAGCAATGGGAGGCCGTACAGGGACCCATGACACACTCTGGACCTGGCAGCAGCATGAGGCAGCAGCCCATGACAGATGGGAGGCGGTACAGGGGCCCATGGCAGGCAGATTACGGGCCTGGCAGCAGCAATGGGAGGCCCGTAATCTGCCAGCACCCTATGACAAAATGGAACCCACCAGCAGTGTGAGGAGACCTGAAAGTGGCACATGGCAGAGTGTGGCGATGGAGACAGCAGCAATGGGAGGCCGTACAGGGACCCATGACACACTCTGGACCTGGCAGCAGCATGAGGAGGCGGTACAGGGGCCCATGACAGATTACGGGCCTGGCAGCAGCATGAGGAGTCGGTACGGGGGCCCATGGCAGATTACGGGCCTGGCAGCAGCAATGGGAGGCCCGTAATCTGCCAGCACCCTATGACAAAATGGAACCCACCAGCAGTGTGAGGAGACCTGAAAGTGGCACATGGCAGAGTGTGGCGATGGAGACAGCAGCAATGGGAGGCCGTACAGGGACCCATGACACACTCTGGACCTGGCAGCAGCATGAGGAGGCGGTACAGGGGCCCATGATGACAGATTACGGGCCTGGCAGCAGCAATGAGGAGTCGGTACGGGGGCCCATGGCAGATATGACGGGCCTGGAACCCAGCAGCAGTGTGGGAGGCCCTGAAAGTGGGACATGGCATGAGAGGCTGGACCTGGCAGCAGCATGAGGGAGGCGGTGACCTACAGGGGCCCATGACAGATTACGGGCCTGGCAGCAGCATGAGGAGGCGGGTACGGGGGCCCATGGCAGATTACGGGCCTGGCAGCAGCAATGGGAGGCCCGTAATCTGCCAGCACCCTATGACAAAATGGAACCCCAGCAGTGTGAGGAGACCTGAAAGTGGCACATGGCAGAGTGTGGCGATGGAGACAGCAGCAGCATGGGAGGCCGTACAGGGACCCATGACACACTCTGGACCTGGCAGCAGCATGAGGAGCCGGTACAGGGGCCCATGACAGATTACGGGCCTGGCAGCAGCATGAGGAGTCGGTACGGGGGCCCATGGCAGATTACGGGCCTGGCAGCAGCAATGGGAGGCCCGTAATCTGCCAGCACCCTATGACAAAATGGAACCACCAGCAGCAGTGTGAGGAGACCTGAAAGTGGCACATGGCAGAGTGTGGCGATGGAGACAGCAGCAATGGGAGGCCGTACAGGGACCCATGACACACTCTGGACCTGGCAGCAGCATGAGAGGCGGTACAGGGGCCCATGACAGATTACGGGCCTGGCAGCAGCATGAGGAGTCGGTACGGGGGCCCATGGCAGATTACGGGCCTGGCAGCAGCAATGGGAGGCCCGTAATCTGCCAGCACCCTATGACAAAATGGAACCCACCAGCAGTGTGAGGAGACCTGAAAGTGGCATGGCATGCAGTGTGGCGATGGAGACAGCAGCAATGGGAGGCCGTACAGGGACCCATGACACACTCTGGACCTGGCAGCAGCATGAGGAGGCGGTACAGGGGCCCATGACAGATTACGGGCCTGGCAGCAGCATGAGGAGTCGGTACGGGGGCCCATGGCAGATTACGGGCCTGGCAGATGACGATGAGGCTGCCAAGTGCGATCAGCCTCATCATCATCAATTAGGGTCTCCGCCTCACTACTAGCCCCCTCGGCTGCGTGTGGGTCAGGAGACAGACCTGGCTCTAGACCGGCTACCGAGCCACTCTCCTCACCAGTACTTCTTCGCCTGGCTGCTGAAGAGGCGGATGTCTCCCCCCGTTCCTGACCGCCCTCTGTTAGCTCTTCCTCACTGTACAGTGGGGCTGAGCCCACAGCATGCGATACTTCGCTTGGTGAGGGAACAGCAAAGGACAGGGGCAGGTAGAGGACACGTGATTTCAGTGGGCTTGCTCCCGGGCCATGCCAACTAACGGTTGTGTCTGACGTACCCACCGACCGTTGGCTGTAGGTGTCAGAGGTGACCTGGGAAGAGGAAGACGACCGAGCCAACCAATCGATGACGGCAGGGTTGTCGGTGGAGACACGACCGCTGGATGATACCGGAGCACTGGCCTCTGGCTGCGACTAGTGCTGCCTCGACCCCTTCCTCTGCTGCCACGTCTGCTGTGCTCCTGAAACATTGCCTCCTCTGCCACTCCTCTGCGTGTTGTCTGACATACTCTTTAATTCAACGATTCTGTGTCCCTGAGTCCCTGTGTCCCTGAGTAACGATTCTGTGTCCCTGAGTAACAATTCTGTGTCCCTGAGTAACGATTCTGTGTCCCTGAGTAACGATTCTGTGTCCCTGAGTAACAATTCTGTGTCCCTCAGTAACGATTCTGTGTCCCTCAGTAACCATTCTGTGTCCCTGAGTAACAATTCTGTGTCCCTGAGTAACGATTCTGTGTCCCTCAGTAACGATTCTGTGTCCCTGAGTAACAATTCTGTGTCCCTGAGTAACGATTCTGTGTCCATGAGTAACGATTCTGTGTCCCTCAGTAACAATTCTGTGTCCCTGAGTAACGATTCTGTGTCCCTGAGTAAACGATTCTGTGTCCCTGAGTAACGATTCTGTGTCCCTGAGTAACGATTCTGTGTCTGTCCCTGAGTAACAATTTCTGTGTCTGTCCCTGAGTAACGATTCTGTGTCCCTGAGTAACGATTCTGTGTCCCTGAGTAACGATTCTGTGTCCCTGAGTAACGATTCTGTGTCCCTCAGTAACGATTCTGTGTCCCTGAGTAACGATTCTGTGTCCCCTGAGTAACAATTCTGTGTCCCTGTGTCCCTGAGTAACGATTCTGTGTCCCTGAGTAACGATTCTGTGTCCCTCAGTAACGATTCTGTGTCCCTGAGTAACAATTCTGTGTCCCTGAGTAACAATTCTGTGTCCCTGAGTAACGATTCTGTGTCCCTCAGTAACAATTCTGTGTCCCTGAGTAACGATTCTGTGTCCCTCAGTAACAATTCTGTGTCCCTGAGTAACGATTCTGTGTCCCTCAGTAACAATTCTGTGTCTGTCCCTGAGTAACAATTCTGTGTCCCTGAGTAACAATTCTGTGTCCCTGAGTGACATTTCTGTGTCCCTGAGTAACGATTCTGTGTCCCTCAGTAACAATTCTGTGTCCCTGAGTAACAATTCTGTGTCTGTCCCTGAGTAACGAATCTGTGTCCCTGAGTAACGAATCTGTGTCCCTGAGTAACAATTCTGTGTCCCTGAGTAACGATTCTGTGTCCCTAAGTAACGATTCTGTGGCCCTAAAGTCTCTCTGGCCCTAACTCTGTCCCTAATACAGACAGGTCTGTCTCTCTTGAATGACCGGAGGCTAATGGAGAATTGTAAGATGGCCGCAATTTATAGCTCCACCATTTCACAGTGCTGGCTGGCTGGCTGCTGATTGGCTAATGCAATCACATGTCATGAATGAATGCATTATGGGTCAGCGCGCCTTGTCTGCGCGCCTTCCCAGAGATCCCCGCTCCATCGCCACACATGTCGCCGCCATTTTTGGGAAAATTCGATTCGTGCATCCGAAGTTTGCTAATTTTCGGATTCGGCGCGAATCAAATTTTTCCTGATCTTCGAAACGAATTCCACTTCGCCATGTTCGATTCGCTCATCTCTAGTGATAATGATTTGTGGGGAAATTTGTCATCAGACACTGAAAACGATTTTGCAACTTTGCTCAGTGATGTGCGATCTTGGCGTTATATTTAAAATGTCAGTGTTTTGGGTTTGATTAGATTATTGAATTTTATTATTATTATATTTT